AGGAGAGCGGAGCAGAGGGGCAGAATCCCCTCCCTCCACCTGCTGCCCACGCTGCTCTGGGTGCAGCCCAGGACACGGTTATTGGCTCTGGGCTGTGAGCTCACATTGTCTGCTCGTGTTCAGCTTCTCACTCACCACCACTCCCATGATGTGAACTGAGCCCTGAGCTCTATGGACTATTTATTGCTTCGCACTGGCTAATTAAAACGGTGACTTCTAATGAGTAACTGCTCTGCAAGCCTCATGAATCCCATTCCAGAGAGATTCTGAAAGAAGGAAGATGTGAGCTCTGCTGCAAGACAGGAAGCTCAGCAAACCACCTCAGACCATGACAGGGAAGGATTTTCCACTCATGGGTTTGCCAGGGAAGAGCCAGAGAAAACTCTGGGACACAGCAACTCAACACACCATGGAAAGGTTGGAAACAGAGTGAGAGCTGAAGGGCAAATAGGAACTGACTGCTGCTGCCTGCAACTCGGTCAGACAGACAGACAGACGGGTATTCAGAGTGCCTGCTGCCTCCCTGGCCAAAGGCTGACAAACAGTTCCCAAATGCAAAGCCACCTGGGCTGCCACCAGCACAGAAACCAGCGGGGAAGTCAGTGAATGTGGTTTTTTTTTCACTGGTTCTCCCCTTGCCAGGGAGCCAGGGAACACAACGAGGCCTCACAGCCGGTTCTGCCCTGTGCACACCTCCGAGAGCAGCAGCAAGAAAATGTGCAACAACAGCAAACTGCTGCCTCGATTTTTCACCATGGTTTTCTAGTCAACCAACAGAGGCTTTGGCAGGGAACTCTCTGCTCTCTGCTCTGGTTTTACCAAGTGTTTACAGCCTCTGAAACAGGGAAAGGCACAGCAGAGCTGCAGCACCATCACCTACCTCATCCGACTCCGAGAGGAACTCCTGCATGATGTCACTCTCCCCGATGACACGTATTGAACACACTGTGGGACAGAGAGAGCAGGTTATTGGGGTGCCCAGAGAAAGGGGAACCCACCCTCCCCTCCCAAAAGACAACATGGAAATAATAAAGTGTCTGTTCTGCAGGCAGCATGGAAGAAGGATGGTTATCTCCAGCCTGGAAAAACCTTCTCAAAGCAAGTGAAGTGCTGTATCAGGTGTCCTGGCACAAAGAGTGATCCAGCCTGAATCCCCCACAACAGCAAGGGAACAGGGGTGTTGAGTAACTCACTGAGATATTTCCCATGGGTGAAATCCAGGCCCCAGGCACAGGGCCAACAGGAGGTTTAGACTATACTTAAAAGCAGGGAAAAAAAAATGTCATAAATAGTACTTTTGCCTCTAAAAAAACCAAACCAAACCAAAACAAAAAGTTATTCCAGAGGGACTGAAACTATTTAAGAATTCAGGCCAAGCTCAGCAAATAATTTTGACCTGAACTGTATTGTGTTGCCTCTAAGATTCAACCAGCATCCACTGCCCCGTCCTCCAGACAGATGTAACCGAGGGTGGAGAGGGTTGAGCTGGGCTGAGGTACCAGCAGGGTGAGGAAAATCCAACCCACATCCATCTTAGGGGAAGAGGGGGCCTCACTCCCAGGTGCTGGGTAAGGAAAGAGGCTGTTAATTGACACCAATTAATTGAGCTGCATCCAGACAACTAAGAAAATAACACAGCATCACAGGAACGAGGGGTCACTGCTCCCCACATCCCATCTACAGCCTCTTCACTGCAAAAATGTGGGGTCAGATCTTTGAGCCAGGCACTCTGATACAGGGACAAGGTTTTGCATCCACTTTCCCATCACCTGAACTCAACCT